TTCAAGTAATAAATTTAAAAGTAAAAACTGCAAAAGCACATCCATGTGGAGCCAAGGATGAGGAGAGCCTTGAGCTCATGTTGTACTCTGAAAAGAGCACGCATGCACACTATCTCAACGGAAAGACGCCAAGCCTTCATGACTTCTAGTTTTGATTCTGACCAAGGTATGACGATGGAGTTAAAGAAAAACTATCCCAAAAAATAAATACATCGAAGACCGTATAAAGTAATTACGCATAATGACATAGTATTAAACAGTTAAACGTCCAACTTTCCGTTAGGATCGTCCCAGTTCCACCACTCTTCTAGGATGACAAATGTTAGAAAATATCTTCCAATGGATTTCAATAAGTTGCACGAACTCGTGAGGCTGATTTTAACTTTGCAAGAGCCACACTGGCGACGAAACTTTACGAATTTTGGAGGCTTAAGAGTTACAACTCACCTGGTCATCGATGAAACACCGTCTTTCATCAGGCCATTTACTGTTCGGGAGCCAGTTCGCGTATAGTCGCCCTGGCATGGAACATTAAAGTGCATTCAAGCTAATGATACAGGCACACTAGCTTGAGCAATCACACAATAAAGAGTGGATTCATTACAAGTAGAACTGACCTTCATGGCAACTGTACCGGTATAATGACGTGAGAGAGCGTCACCGTTATCCGCCCAGATAGATTGTACCGCCCGCGAGAACTCCGCAGGCAAATTCACCTCAGGCGGTAGGCGACCCAGCTTGCGCAACTAGGATCAACAAGACGTCGGCTCCACTCGTAGGTGTTAACAGCAGTCAGCTATTGACATACTCTGGGTCTAACACTTAATCGCAATGCGTAGCCTAATTAACTTAAGACCATAACATTTGGGTAATAGCAACAAAAGGAGGATTCGATATCGCACAGCCATCCTTAAAAAATTCGGGACATTCAAATTATCAGGTGGAATTAACACGAAAACAAGCACTGCAATTTGAATTATCACCCAAAAGTGATGTAAACATGGACGAGACAATGACTAGATACGAATAAGAGTAGATGACAGAATACCTTTAGATAAGTACTTTTAAATGAAAGTATGAATTAT